GTGCCTAAAAACTGAGGCAGGGAAAGCTTCTTCTTTTATGTCCCAGCACAGACATGCATAGTCTCTCTCTCCGCCTCCCTTCTTCCTTGCCCCTCCTCCTTTTCTCCCTCCCCCTCATTCTTCCTCTTCCTCTTTCTTCCTCCTTCTTCCTCCTCTTCTTCTCCCTCCTCTTCCTCATTTTTCTCCCTCTTCCTTCTCTTCTTTCTTTTCCCTTCCTCCTCTTCCTCTTTCTCTTCCCCCTCTCCTCCTTGTCTCTCCTTTCTTCCATCCCTCCTTTCCCAAGGCACGTTAAGCAGAGTAGACCTGGCAGAGCTCTGCCCATGACCTCCCCTGATCACTTCACCCTGCCGGCCCCAAGGTCCCATTTCTCCCTGCCCTCTCCTGGCCTCCAGCCCCCTGCTGTCCCAGGCTGCCAGGCCCAGCCAAGGCTAAGCTGTTTTGGAAAAGTGCTAGGAGGTGGCAGAATATGCGGTCTCCAAGTTCCCTCCAAACTGGCGCCCCAATTCCTGGACAAACAGTGTCAGTGTTTGCCTGTCCACAGGGGCTGTGTTCTCCTTCCATGCCCGGCAATCCCAGGGCAGGCGGCTGGCTAGAGGGCAGCAGGCAGGCAGGCAGGCGGACGTCATTGACCCACTGGGTCCACAGGGGAGAGGCAGGGACAGACGGGTGATGAGAGGGCCAACCACCCACCCGCCTACCCACCAGTCAGTGGCAGGGTGGTCAGGCCAAGGGCAGCCTGGGGACTGTGCTTCCTTCACCTCCACCACCACACAGGACATTCCACCAGGAGGATTGGAATTTACACCCCGGGAAACTTCCCTGGCTTGTTTCCCTCACAATCTGGGCTTCTCACTGCTGCTTCTTGCTGTTGCCGAGGCCTATCTGAGGGAGCCAGGGCAGAGGCAATGGAGTGGGGCTTCATTAATGCCACTTTAAGACTCTGCATTTTATGGAAAATAGGAGACTCCCTGTATTCCTCCCTGCCCTGGGAATGCAGGGAGTTAGGGTTAGGACTCAGTGGGATAGGGAAGAGAGGAGCAGAAAAAGGACACAGAGTGGAGGAGAAAACAGTCAGGGCTTGACGCACCTCCTGCCCTGGTGGCACTGTCAGATGTCTGGGTGGCCAGGCTCTATGACCCAGGAGGGCGAGGCCTGCACCATGGGGTGTGCCTGGCAGGGTGAGCTGAGCTGTGGTCTGACTATATTGAAAAGGAACACTGCAGCCACAAAAAGACTTTTCTCAGGACAGCTCAGGCATGCACCATCCCGCTCTGGCTGGGATGGGGACCAGGGCATGGTCACAGCTAGGAGCAACCTGAATGTCTGAGGTTCTTCCTGGCTCCTAGTGTACAGCTTGGAGACCAAGGCTTTATCCCCACTGCTCCCACCACCACCTAAAGCCCTGGTCCTTGGAACTGTGGTGGGTGTTGCTTGCCTCAACAAAGGAGGCAGTGCCTCCACAGGTTCCCACCTCAGGCCTCCGTGACAGTCAGGCTGTAGAGGAGCTGTTCACAGAGTGTAACAGTTGGTGACAAGGTTTCAGTTGTCAAATAGGCTTGCAAAATGCAAAAACCTGTGTTCAATGACCATGTAGTACTCCTTAGGCGACAGCATCTGGGCTCAAGAGAAGTCCTGCAATGCAGGTTTATGCTAGCTTTGTTTAGCATATTTCCCAAAAGTATTTGACCATGGTATCTATTTGGTCCCCCAACACCCACGAAAAAGGCTTTGACAAGTGCCAACATGGGGCTCGAGGCTGGAAGTCAGAATGGAATCCTGCTCCATTTGTCATGTGGACATCAGTGTCCTTGCTCAAACAAGATGGGCTCTAAGGACAGGCCCTTGGAGCTCTGGGTCACCAGATCCAGCCCAGAGATACTTGGCACATCCAGTCATGGCCATATTCATCCAGAGGTAGTGGCTTCCCAGCTGCCCCACCCCCTCTCCAATAGGACAACCAGGGACATCTTTCCTTCTCCTGTGAACCTACTCTTCTCAAGTCCCTGCCATGGCCTTCTCAGTGCCTACAATACAGGGACGGTGGGCTGGCCTCCCAGGACACATATTCTAGGGAAGAACTGGACAGGATGGACTGAGCATTGCTGATAGGAACACTGGTAGCCCCAGAAGCCCCATTCAGTGAGGCTAAAAGGCAGAGACCAGAGAGGCAAAGGAGGCAAGGGTGAGTCCCCACGGTTTATTATGGAAGCCTATAAAAGAATCACATTGAGTATTTCCAAAATCACAAAATGCACAACATTCATTTTTTTAATATGCAACATGTAATATTATATACAGATTAAAACCACATGACAGCCAAAACACTCACACGGCACCAGTTCATATCACAACAAAACACAAGTGCTTTTTCAATATTAAAACAACTGTGATAAAAACATATTAATATTTTGAACCATGTTTACAATAGAGAAAAATCCATATTTTACTAAATAACAAATATTTAACAGCAAAAACTTTATACTAAATATCTATTTTGAATTACAACAAAAATAGCACTTATAATAGTTTATAAAGACAGACACAAAATTATAACATTTAAGAAAAAAAAGTTTTGTGTATAAAATAATATTATAGTGTTCTGGGCAGGGTGGGGATGGTGCCCAGAACACAAACGCCAGCGCCAACATCAAAAGTGCTTCATTCTGCAAGCCCGTCAGGAGGAGTTTGTGGGGTTTTGTCTTTCGTGTCAAGTTACAATAGTTACCAATGGTGAGGAGACATCATCCATCTAATGCTACCACTATGAAACACACACGAGAACACAGGGATACCAAGACCACAACACAAATCGACAGAGCAGAGATGGAGGCTTTGCAACAGTGCAATCCTGACATCCGGGCAAGAGCTCTCCTCCCTCCTCCTCTGTTGCCTTTGAGACCCAGCGGGCCAAGTGATCCATCCTTCCTTCCTCTCTCCCAGGGATCCCCTCAGCTCTTCCTTCTCTACCTCTTCCCAGGCTGCCCTCCCTCGCCACCAAAGGAAGGCCACTGAGGCCTCCCAAGCCCTCCAGCCCCTTGCCCCTCATCAGGCCAGACTTACTGTAAGCTACTTAGTCTGAAACAGTTGGTTCAGGGCAAGTAGAACTGCTTAAAGGAAAAACGAACCTTCCAGACACTGGGCTTTTTTGTGTGTAACAAATTCTGGTGCACCATGCAGCTATTTTGAATTCTTTGATGAGTCTTTACACATTTCGGCTTGTTTTTCAGAATTGGAAAGGGGACATTGAGGTATTGTACTGATTTTTAAAAATTTTTCAAACTATTTTTGCCAGAACTGTTTGTTCTGCACTGTTTTAGTTGTGAAAAGGTAGGAAATACATGAAACATTCGGGAGTTGGTGGTTGTTGTGTGCCCCATTTCTGTAAAGTCCTCCTTTTCAGGGGGGAAATGTAGGGTCTGCCCACTGGTCACCATGGGGGGAACTGAGCTGCTCATGGTGGAGACAGTTGGGGGGTCCATCATGTGCTGAGTTATTGTGTGTGCTTTGGGTTTTCTTATAAAGAGAATCACTGCATTAATAACATTGAAATGAATAGAGAAACACAGAAAGCAAAGAAAAATCTGAAACCAGTCAAAATTGCTTAGAGACTCACCAAAGGCCCCCAAACCATTCAAAGGAGGCATCCCAAATCGCCAACACTGAAAATGCCAGGGGCAGGAGCTACTCCTCTTTCACCCAGTCATCCTGACTGGCCCATTTGCAACCAAATCACTTCTGACAAATCTCACATACATCCTGCTCTTGCTGCAGCCTCCCTCCTGCAGTGTCTCTGACCACATGTGGTCCGAGTCAGCTCTGAGGGAAAACTGTCTCTACCTCACCTCTCTCTTGCTTTCTTCTCTTCCCACACCCCTGAGCTGGGCTTATGCAAACAGTGGCATAGAAGTGGAAGGGGCTTCAAGGACACCTTTCCAAGGCTAAGGGCAACGGGGAAGGGTTAAGGAAGGGAAGACAGAGACCCTCAAGCCCCATCAGAAGAAAGAACCCGTATCCTTCCCCATCCTCACTAGTGGATTTGGGGGGGGATGGGGTAAATAGTGGCCCAGAAGGAAATTGTGACAACCTCTAAATCCACATGACCAAGGCTTTGACAGGACAGAAAGGTGGCAATGGGCCACTTCCCCATCTCCACCAGGGGACATCAGGTCCAGATGCTGGATTTCAGCCACTGAGGTTAAACCAAATCATTTGTCTGGAGCCCAGGAGGGCTGTTGAACCTTCTGCCAGGGTGGCTAGGTTTGACCAGAGACCCTCTCCTCTTCATTTGCCCAAATCCTGCAGGGGACAGCTGAGGGGAGGAGATGCTTGCTCCAGACCTCAGGATGGCCAAAATCAGTGAATAAATACAAGCTGGGAGGGAGAGGAGGTGGCCCACGAGCCAAGGGCCTCAGTTAGGTACATGTAGCAGGGAGTGGCCTGGCTCAGCGGTCGGTTCCCTCCTGAGGGTGAGACAGGGATGTCAGTGCACCTGCCCAGGGCCACCAGGGAATGTACTGGGGAACAGAGAACAAGTAGCAGCAATAGGTAATTTCAAATGTCCAAACTGGTGGAGCTGGGTAGGGGGTGCACTCCAAGCTAGTGGCAGCCCCTAGCCCACCCAGGTTGACTAATGTCAGATTACCCAGGATGCTGTTCTTCAGCAGCCACAGCATAAGGAGCACTGTCTAAGCAATGGCAGGAGGAGGTGACAAAGGCTAAAGAGAGTGCCTAAAGAGAGTGCCAAGAGGGTCCCTCTTTTCCTCTCTCCCCTGCACAACCACCTGACCACCAAGGAAAAGACAAGGGAAGGAAGCGATTGATCAGAAGGTCACAAGCACCACAAACACACACTGCAGCACAGGGACTGGCACTAACACTGTCTGGGCATGCAGAACCCCAGCCAGGCCCTTTCCCAGAAGCTGAGCTGGGGGAAGGTAGGGAGACTTGGAGAAAGCAGGAGCCAGGAGTAGGGGCTGCCTTTAGGAAGGACAGGGCCTTTTTGGCTTTGGGTAGGGTTTTCCAGGGAAGGGGGTCAGGGAGGGCAAGTATGGGGACTGCTTGTCCTCCCATTCCAGCCCCTCCCACACACAGGTTTCTACCTCTGTCACCCCACCCCTGCAGGGCTGGGCTGAGGTGGGGTGAGGATCTAGAGCTGCTACACTGTAGCGCTCAGCATGGCCTCTGTCTCCGGCAGAATCTTATTCTGGTTGGAGTCCAGGCCAAAGAACTTGACACTGAGGCCATCAACTGGATGCAGGACAGGGACCAAGGTGATGCGGGGGAAGGTCCGGGTGGCCAGCTCAAAGCGGCTGGTGCTGGCCAGCTCCACTGCCAGCACCTTCAGGAACAGCTTGGCCAGGTGCTTGCCCAGGCAGGTCCGGACGCCACCACCAAATGGGAGGTAATGGAAGCGACCGTCCTTATCTTCACTCCGCGCCTGGCTGAAGCGGTCAGGGTCGAACACAGTCACGTCTTTGAACACAGGGGCTGTGTCATGGGTATCCCGGATGCTGTACATGACACTCCAACCTTTGGGGATTTGGAAACCCTGGAAGAAGATGGGGTCCAAGGAGTGCATTGTGAGAACCAGAGGAGGATAGGAGAGGGTCCAGGACTGCCCACCTGCTTGTCCTCACCCTCAGGTGTTCAAGGCCTGCCTCTTCCTAGAGACACTCCCTGGTGTCCCCCAGATTGGTACATATCACATGTACCTTCACAATGTGACACTCAGGTTGGCTTTACCCCACTCTGCATTTGGGGCTCTGTCTCTCACACAAACTCCCTGAAATCAAGCACTGTTCCCCTAGCACACTGAGTTACCCAATGAGCGTCCTTCCCACAGATCATCCCAAACCCCAACACTCAGAGCTTTTGACCCCAGCCGCATGGGACCCAGCCTTACATCAAGCTCGAAGGTCTGCAGCACAGTGCGGTAGCCACCAGAGATGGGTGTGAAAAGACGCATGACCTCCTTGATAACACAGTCCAGGTAGCGAAGCCCACCGAGCATGTCAAGGCGTAGGGTGCCCTCGCAGGGACAGCCACCACTATGCAGGATGCCCTGGGCCCGCAGCTCCTCCCGCAGCTTCTCCAGTACTGCCGGATGCTTCAGCAGCTGCATTATGAGTGAGGTGCTGGCACTGGCCGTGGTAGCATAGGCTGCGAAGATCAGCTCCAGGGTCCCATCCTGCAGTGGCAGAGAAGAGAGGTGCTATTGGCCATCTGTGGCCAGCCAAGTAGGGTGGCCAGTGTCCCCAGGGCCCAGGGCCACTAGAGCTGGGTCCTGCCTGCTTCCTGCTGCCAGTTCTGTTCCTCTGAGCCTCCTGTGCTGGAGCCTTAGAGCCATTGTAGGTCAGAGGCACACTGCTGTAACCCAGGGGAGAATCACTAGCCTGTAAATTCCTTACTGATGGATTCCTAGCCAGATGGGCAGAGGTTGTAGGACAGAGCTTAAGGTGTCACTAACTGGAAAAGGCTAGGGTGGTAAAGGAGGAGAGGCCTGAATTAGATCTAGACTTCCCCTGGGACTGAGGCTTACTCAAGCAAGCTCCCCTCTGAGCCTGGCTTCCTGCAACTGGGAGCACAAAATGAACTGGGTCCGTGAGTCCGTGAACTTTTACGGGGAAGCTTCAAGGGGACAAAGAGTCAACACAAGCCACTAACATAGCCTGTTCAGAAGGCTAAGGACCAATTTTCAGCATCTTCTTAAACACGGTAAATATGACTAGGGGCAGGACTGAGCATGTGACACCTGGCCCACTGTGGGGATTTTGCTCACCCCAGGACTGTAGTGTGTACAGCCCAGCACTGCCTGATGGATGGACCAGAATGGGTGGCCCTAGGGAAAGCCCCAGAACACAGTGTGGGTGCCAGTGCTGCCCTCTGGAGGAGTTGCCCCCACCAACCTTCAGTTCCTGCATGGTCATCTCCTTCCCATGCTCCTTGCTGCTCTCGATGAGGATATCCAATGCGTCTGAGTAGTCCTTGCCCTGGGTGCACTGCAGCTTCTCCCTGATAGCCTTTTCCAGCCCCTTCTGTAGGATCTGCCGAGCCTGAATGCCCTGAGGGGAGATGCGGCTGTCAGCCCCCCACCTGGGGGTGGGTTCCCTTCTGAGTCTCAGGACTGCCAGGGACGGGACGACTCCAGCCTGTCCTCCCATTGACACTTCTCTCTTCTGCCCACACATCCAGTTAGCACCCCTCCCAGAGGGTGGGCTCCTGGGGGCCCCATCTCCTCTCTTTTCAGGCTCGGCTGCTTACCCGACGGTAGCCACTGAAGGGCAAGTCGACTGGGAGGGAGAAGACATTCTCCACAAACTGTTGGTAGACCTCAAAGAGGTGTCCGAGGTCCTCCTCAGGAATGCTGAAACCCAGGAGCACCCGGATGGCCATACGGAAGGTGAGCTTCTGTGCCTCCTGGTACACGTTGATGGCCTCAGGTTGGCTGCTCCAAGCACGCAGTGTGTCCTGGATCACCAGCTGGATCTTGGGCAAGTAGCTCTCCAAGGCCTCATGGCTGAAGACCTTAGAGAAGACCTGGAGGGCAGAGATGTAGGTGGTAAACCTGGATCCTAAGCTGATGTGGTCCACACTCTGCCTGGCAAGAGTGACTGTAGCCAGGAAGCACTCCCATCCTCAACCCTTCCCAGAAGTGTGTGTCCCCATGTAGTGGCAAAGTCCTGGGGACTGCACAGTTCAGCTGCTAACAAGTCTTGGGTGTGTGGCTCTCCCAACCTTGGGAACATGATAGGGAGTTGAATGGGATAGGAGCAGAGAGGCTGCCCTTTCCTTGAGAATCCAGGGCAGAACTGGAGCACAAGTGAATGCCTGGACAGGGAAGAGGCAGGGAAGCAGTAAATGGCTCCCTTCTGCTCCTCTGGTGGAAGGGCAAGACTAAGGCCAAGACTAAGGTAATACCACAAGGAATTTTGTTTCCTGGGAACCAAAATTATCTTCAGTCCCTGTGAAACATCTGTTGGGTAGTGATTTTAGGAATCTCGACAGCTGTGCCATTAAAATGTTTTTGGTGTGGCTAAGTCTGGAGGCAGGAGGATAGAGGCAATGGTTTTGTACTCCAAAAGATCACAAAGACAATCAGAAGTTCATTTTAATTCCCTGCATGCTCCAGAACCATCTTAAGTAGCCAAGGAACCCCTGATTCCACCTCCCCTGCCTTGCATCCTCCTGATTGGCTTGGCAGACCTCTGCCCCCCCCCATCCCACGGCACATGTTTTTCACACTGCTGTCTTAGTGTACAGGGGAGGGAGAATATTGTTTATTTACTGACAGTCTGTGGGTCCCACTTATAACCAACAACCTCCATTTCCCCCTGGGTTCAGAACAGAAAGGGGGTGCCCCACTGGAGCCAAGGAAAAGGTCATGAGGGAAGACAGAGGGGGGAGGGGCAGTGCAGAGGAGGAAGGTCCCCCCCACCCCATGCAAACCACACACACGCGCCTGCCCTCCCCTCCTGCCCCCCAAACACAACCGCCACACAAACTGTAAATGTGAGAATTTCCCCTGCAGTCAGCTCGAGGAGGAAAAGGTAACATTTTCCTGGCCTGGGCCCTGCATGGCTAATAGGAGGGCTGGTTTGCAGAAATAACAGTGCTGGCCCTTCAGTGGCCCAGCCAGGCTCGCACAATAGCACTTTCATTCTAAAATTCCCCGGTGGGCAGGGAGATGGAGGGAGGCCAGTGAGGGGCAGAGACGCCCACACTGCTCAGGGCCACTCTCCTACAAAAGAACAGCTGAAAGGTAGAAAGGCAAAAGGAGGTCCCCTAGGTCAGTTCAGGCCTGGAAGGGTCATTTATACCTTGCCCAGTTTCAGGGGGGGTCTTAGGGAATTTCCAGAGGGGCATTTCAGTTGCTACCTCCTGTCAAAGGTTTTGGATAAAGGCAGTGCTGGGTGCCTCGGCCCCTCATGCTGGTATCCTTAAGATTCCAGGCTCAGTCTCAGGTCAGGGGGTCTTGAGGAGTGGGAGTAAAAAGCTACCTACAGAGCCCAACACCAGCCAACCAGGGCCCTTACAAAATAGCAGAGGCCACAGGGTGAGCAGAAAATGGTGTGTAGGAGCTTGGCGGGCTTACTGGGCTGTGACCAGACCTCAGTGGGAAGCTGGTGGTAGGCAGGAGGGGCTTATGGTGGCCACGCTAGCCCAAAATCAATCATAGAGGGGTACTATCATAGAGGGTAGAAGATGACTAGGGCCCCAGTGTCAGGAGATGTGGACTCAAAGATGGGCAGAGACGACGCTCACAAAGACCAACCAAAGTCAAAGTCATTTTGGGCTCTAGAGTGGGGTGATGGGAAAAGATAGACTGAGGGCCCAGAAACCTGAGTTTTAACTGGGGATCATTCATCAACAATTGTGTCACTGTGGGTAAGTCATCCACCCCTAAGCCTCCGTTTCCTTGTCTGTAAAATGGTGAGGCTGAACCCAGTGACCTCTGGGATGCCTTTCAATCCACAGAGCACCTGAACACCTACATCCATTTGCTCCCAAGACGATGCAAAGCAGCCAGAACTCAGCAATGCTCAAGCCACCTGGAGAGTGCCTACCAGGCCCCCACTCTCCCATTACATCCTGCTTTACTATGGCCCAGGAGGGGCTATCCCAGGGCTTGCAAAGGGCTACTGCCACGGCCTCCACCCCACACTGAGGAGCGGTCATGCAGGACCACTGACAAGCCCTGCCTGCCCTACAGGTTACATTCACTGCGCCCTCTAGCGATGGCCGGCTGTATCACCTCTTCTGGCTCCAGGACAACCCAGGAAGATCCAGGGGGACCTGGGATTGAGCAACGACTCCAAGGCAGGGTGTCCATACTTGATTCTCAGGTGGGAATGAGTCCTGAGCAAGGCCAGGCACCCACTGCCACCCTACACCTGCAGGACCCTGGGGCTTGAGTCCTTGAAAAAAAATTAAGCCAGGACTAGGGTTCATGTCCAGACCAGCCTGACTAGCTGACACCCAGCAGGACACTGCCCCTCTGGGGCTCAGTTTCCCCACTGGTTTCATGAGGGATCCAGCTAGTAGTTTTGGAGTCTCTTTCCACTTGACTATTCCCTGATTCTTCCCCTGAAGTAGAGAAACTACCCAAAAGAGAACCCAAGCAAAGGCAAGTGTCAGGCACTCCAATCTTGGGGGGGGCGGGGCGGGGAGGGCTTTGCTCAGAGGTCACCAAGTCCATGCCTGGGCCACTAGCCCATGTTCCAGAGGCATCAGGGCCTCCCAGGCACTGGGAAGGCTCCAGGGCTTCATCCCTGGGCCTGTGCCCAGGATTAACAATGAGGGCACTTCCCAAAGCCAAGGCAACTCAGAAACCACCTCCCACCACAAAGGACAGGCAGGGGTGGAGGTGTTGGCCAGGGCAGAGGGAGGCCCAGGGCATGCTGGGTCTGAAGCCACTGCCTGCTGGGGTCAGGACACAGACACTCTGGGAAGGTGCCTGGGAGTGGCTCAGTGTGAAGAGAGGAAGGGTTCCAGCCCCCAGAGTTGCCTGCCCTGACCACAGTAGTCACAGGAGCCAGGGCTGCTTTGTTTCCCTCTGGGGCTTCCCTGGGAATTCCCAAAAGTGAGCCAAGAATGCCAGACAAAAGTCATTGGGAACTGGCCCAGGCCCAGGCAAAGCCCTGCAGAGGGAGCCACAGGTATGGACTTGGCACCAGGGTTGTTGTTGGGGGAGGGCAAGGGCCAAGGGTCTCCCAGTGTACCTGTGGAAGTGACAGGGGCAAGGGCAGGCAGGAGAATGGTCTTAAGGGATGTCCTTGAGTAACTCCCCAATCCCCATCCATTTCCCTAACACCATAGTAAACTCCAGAGCCCACATCCCTGTTTTCTCCCTCCCTCTAGACCAAGAGCCTATTCTGTGGCAAGAGTCTGGGGACACCACCCTGGCTTGTCAAAACTTAAATTCTCTGTAATTGTTCCTACAAATGTTTTCTCCCCACAACCAGGCCTCTTTGCCCCTCCTGTCTCTCATCCGGTGACACTGGGGAGGTGGGGTTTCTCTGCAAACTGCCACAGCCCCATGTGACCAGATAACCTCCCACTTGTCTGCTGGCAGCTGTGGATGGATGGACAAATGGATGGGCAGCAGCAGGAATGGGCACAGCCTCTGAGGGAACCCACTGCCCGACTAGTGACTCAGATTGGGAGGAATGGAAGAGGCTGCCCAGGAGAGGTGGGGGCCCAGGCAGGCCACCCAGCCAAGGCCAAGCCATCAGAGCCATGGCCTGTAGAGTGGAAAGAATAACAGAAGGCAGGCAGCTGTCCGCACAGGGGTGACGCCAAGGTGTGTACTTTATTCTCAAGCAAGGAGGAGGACAAGAAAGGACGTCATCCTCTCAGCTGATGGCATTTCCACTGGACGGAGGCTTCACCTTTGACTGAGAGGGGCAGACGCAGACATCCCACTCCCCAGCTTGTGCGTGTCCCTTCCCTGCAGCTGTGGGAGCAGAGTGCCCCTCTACTGCTCTAATGCTTCCACCTCCCCAACCAAAGCATGTGGTGGGGGAGGAGGCAGCACTGGCAAAAACCTGCTGAGCCCCCTAATCCACAAAGGGTTGCCCAGCTGCTCCTACCCTCTCCCAGTCACCACAAAACCACCCTTGGAAAGCTGAGCCCAGAATGGGGGGAGGGTCTTGCCAAGGTCACAGTGGAGGGCACCGCCTCCCACCACTTCAAACCCCAATGAAGCTGCTCTCTCTCAGGCTCTGAATTTATCTGAACCCCGAAGGGGCTAAGTTGCTTCTATGGCCCAAGTTGCTTCTAAGGGTAAGGCCAGCTGTTCTGACTTGTTGTCAGCATTTCTCAGGCCCCTGGAGCCCCTTCTTTTAAGCCTGAAGAACCCAAGATGAATACAATAGCTAGTACAGGGGGCTTAGGGCCAGAGCAGACCCCAGCTAAGCCTCCCCACTCTTAGCCAAGGTCACAGTTGCCTTCCAAGGCTGGGAGAGTGAACAAACACAGCAACACCACAGCCTTGGACCCCTCCTCACCTTGGGAGAAGAACACAGAAAGGAAGGAAAACAGGAGGAGGGGCCCCCACGCCCAGTCCTCCCACCAGCCTGCTGCCTGGCACAAGGGCAAGCAAAGGGAGAGAGGTCCACTCCCAGACACCCTGGTGACTGACTGTCAGCTTCCTCCCCCTGGTGACCTTCAGAGAGATCCACTCCTGCCTCCCTTCTTCCCCCAGCCTCCTCAGCAGCCCCTGGGTCCATCCTTTGGTGCTACAGTAACTGTTCGGTGGACTTTAGCTGGCAGAACAAAGGCTCTGTGCCTATGCCAAAGGCTCAGTCAGAGTTCCCAGTAGCTGCCTGGCCATACCACCCACCTTCCCATCTAATCAGCTTGGAGCTTCTGCCCTGAATTGAACCTGGCAGCCATGACTGTGCAGTCAGAGGCTGCACATTGGTACAAAGAATGGCCTCCTAGAGCCAAGTGTGGCCTGGCCTTTCCCAGGATCCTGAAACCATGGGTATTCTTGGTTCTGCCCTCCTGGCTGGGGCACCTCCTGGCCTCTACACCCCCCCATAAAGTCCAGGATGTGCTTGGTTTCTGAAAGAAGTGCAATGACCCTGAGCCTGACCTCTACCCCATTCCAGGATAGGGCCCAAAGGCCAAGTCAGTGAGGGAATGGCAGGTGATTAAGCAGGGCTTCTTGATCTCTACCTCTAAAACCTGTTCCCCAACCTCAGCTTCAGGCACAGACTGGGTAGGAAGGGCGAGAAGATGACTCCTGGGCTCCCCAGCCTCTCCAGTGCTAAATGAATCCCCTGAGATGGCCTCCAAGTTCCCTGAGAGTATCTCAGGGCCACTGTCTGGGGTGCATTGGAGCTGCTCGTCTCTTGGTGCAGAGAGCCAGCCTTATCTCCAAAAGAAAAGAGGACATACCCAATCCTGTTACATGGGCCTGGACATCTGAAGTTTCTAGAACTCTCCCCCCCAACCCCAACTGCTTCTCTATGTCTCTGACAACCCTCTTCCCAACCAGACATCACCAAGGCAATACCGCAGCCTCTCTACACACTCTATCAGTCACATGACCCCCTCCCAGAGGTGAAGGATACTAAAGAAAGAAGGAGGAAGTCTGAGGCTTGGCTTCCATAGGTGATGCTGTTAGACCAGGTGAGACTTTCTCTTGGCAACCCCACCCCTGCTGGCCTTAGACCACCAGGACATCCAGGGCAAACACCTGGAGTGTAGTGATGGCAATGAAGAGTCCCCTCCCTGCACATCTGGTCAGACCTCTCAGAGAAAGGGCGGATCATCACCCCAATGGAAACAGTGACACTTCTAGTACCCAGCCAGCCAAGGCCCCAGCACACCTGGGCCCCACTACCTGCACATACATCCTAACCAGGCTGGAGCCTGGCCCAGCAACCCTCTCTCCAGCCAGGTCCCTGACTACAGCATGAGCTGGATAAGGCAGTGTGCCTGGTACCCAGCAGCCCCTACCCTCAAGGCTCAGATCCAGAAGACCAGAAGATCTCTCCAAGCCAACATGGAAATTCAGAAATAAGGCCACTAAGTAAGTCCTCTCCTCTTATCCCTCCTGCCAGGCTCTACTTCTTTTTGAGGGGTGAGCCTCTGGGGGTTGAACTCATGTCCTCCCACTTGCTAGGCAGGCACTCTACCACTTGACTCATTTCACTAACACTTTTTGTGTTGGTTATTTTTGAGATAGGGTCTTACTTTATGCCTGGGTTGGACTAGACCTCATTTCCTCCTATTTGTGCTTCCTGGCATAGCTGGGATGACAGGCTCACAAAACCGTACCCAGCCATAAGTTGAGATGGGGTCTTGAGAACTTTTTTTTTTTTTGCCTAGACTGGTCTTGAACCCTGATCCTCTCCATCTCTACCTTCTGAGTAGCTAGGATCATAGGTTTTAGCCACCTATCCCAGCTCAGGGTCTACTTCTTGAGGGCAAGGTTCCTACTTCCCTGTACCTAACCCAAGGCCCTCTATGTAGTTCAGTTAACTTAAGTTCATGGATTAAGGAGACTCTGGGGAAAGGATCTTTTTGTCCAGCTCATGAGATCCACACACATCCCACACACATCCCACAAAGAAAGCATACAATACAGAAAGAGCCTCTGCATTCGTTTCCCATTCCTCTGTCAGAGGAATGGGAATTCTGGCAATTCTCCACCTCCAAGGACTTAGAGGGCCAGGTGTTCAAAAGAGGGAGACCATGGATCCATGCCTCATGTCCCCATTTTCTTGTCCCACCCCTGTCCCATCACCATTCTTCTCTCTTACTACACTATGTATTTGTCTAGCACTATTCATTTGGGCTGTCTCCTCACCTCCAAATGGACAAATAGGCCAAAACCTTGGGCCTTTCCATGCAGGCACTCCCTACCTGGCACCTGAGGGCTCCAGGCCAAGCCAGGTAGAAGGTGGGTGGGTCTCCAAGGCAACAGCCTTATCCCAAAGCCTGCTGCACCCCCAGGATTTCACACTCTGGTCCCTGGTCCTGGCCAAGCCTTCTTCCTCCCAGCACTGCATCCCCACCCCAGCCTTCAGCAGCCCCAAGTGGGCAGTACCTTTTCTTCACAGCCCTACCTGATTCAAGTCTCACTTAAGCTAGGCCCATGCCCCGGTCTAAATCAAAGCCTCTGTAAGAATGAAATGGGAAGCAACACATGGTTTGGATCTGGGTTCCTGACTTCACTCTTTGGAATGGGCCTCTGGTGGAATCCCAGAGACCATGGGAAAAATCACTGTCCAACGCATCTGAAAAGCCCCCTACAGCCCCCTCCCCTTCTCAAAACACAGCTTGGGGACACTGCATTAACTGCTTCCAGCTGAGTGAGGCAGATGGGAGAAACCTTTGGGAACTCCCTTTCCAGTTCCTGAAATACCTACGTTATCAGGGGATAGGTAAAGGGCACACACACCAGTTTCTCCTTTTGAGTTTTCCTTCTTTGTCTGCCAGGGAGAACTACTGCCCTTCACCGGCAGTTCAGAAAACATCGAATATTAGGGGGTGCGTCGGCGAGTACAGCACAATCCCTCACATTCGCCAAGACCACCTCGAACACAGACTTTGGTGGAGGAGGCTGTTCTTCCCTCCCCGCACATTGTCTCCCTCCCCTCCCCTGAGCTCCACCACTCCTCCAGGAGATGAGAGGCCCTCCTTCCTTTCCTTTAGGTTCCAAACCTGGGTGAGTCCTCTGACCCAATGGAAAAAACTGAGTGGAGGAGCCGGGCTGCCTCCCTTCTGGCGGCTTCAAGCCCGCAGGCCGGCGCCCCGCCCGCCAGCCGGCTCAGCTTTCGGGTTACTGCAGTTCAAACAGCACGTGCCGCCCGCGCTCCAAGCCGCTGCTGCGGCGGCCGCGGCGTAGCGCTGGGAGGGGGCGGGGAGGCTGGTTCCGAGCGCGCTGGCTTGCCTCCTCCGCCTCTTCCAGTCGCTAGGAAAATCCACAGGATAAACACCCACTTTCTCTTCCTCTTTAGAGGAGTGGTGGGTGTGATTTGATCCTCCGCGCGCGACTCGGCAGCTCTCCCACCTCTCGCCTTTTCCGCCACTGTCCAGCCGGCGAGCGCAAGGCCTCAAAGCTCACCGAACCGCCAACCTTTGCTCACAGGGTACCCCTTGCTCCCCCAGCACAGGCCTGCTTCGCCCTCAGCAACTTGTGGCTGGTGGTCCAGGTTTGAATGTAGAATGATTTGGCCTCGGAATTCCCAGAGGAAACCAGGCGAAAGGGGAACGCTAGCCAACTGTCCCGCCCCGCCCCCTTCTTTTTACAGTTCTGTAGAACACTGGAAGCACTGGCGTTGGCCACTCCAGACCTCGCACGTTCAAGCTTTGTCCAAACCACCCCCAAATCAGCCCCTGTGGAGTCTGGTGTTGCCTACCACGCAGTCCACCAGCAAGAGGGTGAATCCAGAGGAGGCCTAAGCAAGCCCTGGATTCGGGCTGGAAACCATCTAGGCAGTGCTCCTCGAGCATGATACGCAAAGCGGTGCACTCCCTCGGCTCTGTAAACTTCTTAACCCTGGGGGTCTGGTGCACGAAAGAAAAAGGTCAAATATCTTACCTTGCGCTTGTTACGGTGGATGTCGCCAATGGAGTTGGCCACCGTGTTGGGGCCAAGTAGCATGCGCGCGCTGCGCGGCCATTCGGTGCTCACGAGGTGATGCTCACCCATGAGAATCTTGCGCACGTTCTCTGCGCCCGTCACCCGAATCAGCGGCCGCCCCAGCAAGTGTGTCTTGAAGACGTTGCCATACTTCTCCCTCCGCGACGACTGGAAGCCGGAACCCTGCGGGAGCCACACAAGAGACCACTCTCAGGGCTCACAGACGGCGTTCGAGGCAGAGACCTGGGATCCAACCCTGGGCGCCGGGCACCTGCCCCTACCAACACACACAGACGCGCACGCAGGTTTTGTTTATCATGGCGTGCACAAGATCTGGGAAGTAGAGCCTAGAGAATAATATATAATGGAGGAGGCGGGAGGTCCAGGGGCACCCACGGCAGGCTGATTTTCATTAGTGATTTTCGGGGAAAAGGTATACCGGCTGGCTGGACCTGAAGCTAAAACCTCCGCGCCCCCCCCCCGCCCGCCCCCCACGCACTCGGGAGCCTCTTGGAATAAATATTTCCAGGCTCCAGGCCACGGGCTGGCGAGACCCCGCGGGGTGGCCGCAGGCCAAAGATTATTTATAGCGGTGAGCGATCCCGGCCCAGAGGCAGTCATTAGAGATGGGGGTTGGAGTTTCCTCTGTTCTCCGGTGTGGCCCGCACAGGGACCGGCGGGCCCTCCGAAGGCTTTTAGGGTGGGGTCATGGGCCAGATCCGCGACTTTCCTAAAGCATTTAGTCCTGGAAATTACTGAGACCGACTTTCGTCACCACCCAGAAGTTTGGAACAGGAGCGCGGCTGAAGGCGCTTCCCGCGGGGCGGGGAGGGACCGGGCGGGGCGACCCGCGCAGGTAACTGGATCCTCGGCGTCCGCGACCGAGGATTGCGGGGCCCCGGCCCCAGTCTTGCGCTTGAAAGACCAGAGGTGGCGGAGCCCGCAGTCCAAGGGTACCGGAAACCGAGGGGACCTCAGAGGGGCGGGGGTAGGGGCATCTTGCTCCCCTTTGACGTCTGCATTCACCACCCCAGCCCACGTTAACCCTTCTCCTACCAAAGCAGCACAAGGTGAAGAGAGGAGGGGCGCCACCTGTCCTCCCTTCTGCGGGTCTGCGGACATACGGGCCGGGTCATGGGCCCCCCCAGGGAACCACTCGGCTCCCCCTTTCCTGAATTGGTCCCCCTCCTCACTTTCCTTTCTTCCATGTAAAACTATTCTCCAGCTAGATGTGCACACACCCCAGCACAGCGAAAAGTGACTCTGCAGAACCAGGATTCCTAATCGCTTTTCCACATGCGCCTCCGGCCCCGGCGCGCGACAGGGAGCGAGCCGGGAACTCCCGCGCCGCCAAGAGGGGGGGCCGGGCCGCGGGGGACGTCGTCCCTCTCCAGGCTGAAGGGTCTACGAGAGCTCCCTCTTCTGTGATGCCATTGTAGAAGGCGCCTACTCCTTTAAGAAAAGTCAAGGCAGAGGTGGGATGCGAAGGGGTGGGGGAGACGGGGTTCCCTTTCTCCGTCTGCAATACTGTCTCCCTCGCTCTTTTCCTCTGTTTTTCTTTTCTTTCGACACAAAAGTTGGGTTGTGAATTTTCCAAGGTCGCCGCCGCCTTGCCCCCCACCCCCGCCTCTGATCTGCCTAACTATAATTAAAGTGCGTTTTTTGTGGCATTAATAAAGAGTTATTTGTCCGCCGTTTCCACGGTCTTCACAAAGAGGACTTTCATAGGGGCTGCCGCTCGGGCCGCGAGTCCAATTTATACAAAAATGTTGTATTTTTAGCCCTGGGCTCTGTTTAGATGGCGCTCAGTGGAAACGGAGAGCCCTTGGAGGTCCCCCCGTAAAATCTGATAAATGACTCCGAAAAAAATAACGCTGAGATTCAGAGGGCTTGCATTAACCCATTCAGCACTCCTCAACATGCACCCACTATCCCCCCATCCCTCCAGATCTGGTGCCCCAGGGCACATGGATGGGGAGGCGCAGGTCTCCTCCTTGCCAACTTCTGTGCGAGTTGGGCATAGACCTCTCCCTAGGGGCCCTAGTGAGATTTCGGAAAAAAGGTCAAGGGGACATGGGGGGGGGGCGGGAAAAGGTCAGGAAACGGGACCGGGCCGGGGAGGGGGGGGGGGGGGGGGGGGGGGGGGCGGGTAACCAACAGGGGATCCCGCAGATCAGCTTTAACCAGGAGGGAGCCATTGCCCATGTGAGTTATTTTATTTTCTAAATTCTCGGCCAAAAGCCTAGACCACCCCCGCTGTTAACCCTTTAAAGCGTTCGGGCAAAGAAGAGGCTCTAGAGATTGCTTTGCGAGGGATAGTCCAATTGGTTAAAGTGAACCCCACCTCACGGGCGAACAATCCCCGAAAGAGATGGACCCGCTGCGCTGCGTGACACGGAAAGATCAGAGTGTAAAGGAACTTCGCATCCTCCTTTCCCGCCCCCGCTCCGCTGGCCTAGGGCCCGGCGGAGGGTGTGTGCGCGCGCACGGATCGCACGCGTCTGTTAATTTCAAGCCAAGCTTTCTCACTTCTAAACCCACAGGTCCCCGCGCTCACCTTTCACTTCACCTCTCCCGTGTCCAGGTTGTCTGTTTCAGGGTATCGAGGCTTCCCCTAGCGCCCATCAGCACCCACTGGACAAATATGCGTACACACAAACCCAAAAATACCTCCCATGGTTACCCAAAGGTACCCCCCACCAAGGAAAAACCGGTGTGCATCAAATTTCAAAAGCGATTGCCTATCATTGACCAAGTTAACGCCGTGTTAATCTGTTACTTACCTGGTTCTGGTCCTTAACGGCCTACCCACGTCACCACCAGCGGAGTGGGGTTGTGTGACATCTAACAACAAACACACTCTATGCATCTCCTGCACACTTTTCTGAAGTTTCTTTCTCCTGCTAAATTGTCCCTTCCCAGTTAGTAAATAGACCCGTTTCCCCGAAAGCTGAGAGCCCTCAGGTCTCTTTGCCTCTCGTTTTCCTTTAGGCTACCTTCTTCCTCTCCCACCACAGAACACACCCACTTGCGGGAACAGCGGGCCAAGGCAATTGTACCTGGTGCAGCCGGCTACACAGCAGGAATGCAGCCTTGGTCTTAAAGGGACAATTCAAGCTGTTATTAGTCCCCTTTCCTACTCTCCGGACTCAATTTTTGGCTCCCAGAGACACCGTTAAAGCCCAGGAAGCTGAGGGCGACTGGGGTGGAGGGTGGGGGGTGGGAACCTGGAATGCGAAAAGGAGGCAAAAAAGCAACCCAAGATCCGACGCCCCTTTGTACTCGCACTGAGCGAGGAGCCCCCAGGGTTCTTCATGCAGCCCAGCTCGGTCGCCAGCGACCAAGGCACGTCAATCTTGGAAGTCTCCTCTAGTCTGGGAATCCCTTTTAGCAGTCCTCGTAGTCCGGTGCGCCAGGCGCCTGTGGTGTCTGAGCCACTCGGCAGGCAGGCAAGGGAAACCCGGACGACGCGGGCTGCGAGAAGGGAAGGGGCGGGGCAGGGACCAGTGCTTTCAAGCTCCAGGCGCCCCCTGGTCCGCCCGCCGCTCGGTCGGCACCGCGCTCGCAGCTAGCGGACCCCGGAGAGCAGCAGAGCGTGCTCACCCTTACCTGTAGCAGCCAGTGGCCGGTCTCTCCGATGAGCGGGAAGCCCATGGAGCCCTTGGGGATGGGCAGCTTGCAGCTCTTGTCGCGGGTAGCAGCCCAGCGCAGCTGCCACAGCTGCTGCGAGACGGCCAGCAGCAGCGTCACGGACACCAGGCATGCGGCAAGGGTGGCCAGCGCCGACACCAGCTCCAAGCCCTCAAAAAGCATGTTGGCGGTCGCTGGGGGATTGGCTGTGCTGGCCGCGGCGGGGGAGGGGAGGGCCGAACCAGAGCGGCGGGGGAGGGGAGACTGCGGCCGGGGGTCCTGGCACCTCCAGCCAAAACTGGGAAGGAGGATGGGGCTGAGGGAAGGGAGTGGAGGCTGCGAGGGGAGCGGAGAGAGAGGAGGTGGGGAAAAAGATTGCTTAAAAGAAGAGAGGAGACACGAGGCCACTGGAGGTGTAACTTGTTTGTTTGTTTGTTTGTTTGTTCCTTTACAGCGGGCTTAGGGGCTGCTCAAAGGGTGATGAGATGAAGCCCTGAATCAAGCTGGTGGATTTGCTCTCCCCGCAACTATCACACTCGGAAAACTTTGGAAAACTTTATCCAGCAAGAGCCTCTCATAAGTCCCTTCCCCTGATCGAGGGGAAAAATTAAAAAATAAAAGAAGGGGAACAGAGAGCTAGCAGAAAGTGCGATCGGTTTGTCAAAAGTATTTCCCCCAAATTCCTATTTAAAAAAAAAAGGAAAAATTCTGAATTCAAAAATTCCAACGAACCCAGAAACTTTGGGGGCGAGGGAGAAGACTCCCCAGCTGACCGAGTCCCTGGGCTGCTCTGGGTGGCGCGCCCGAGCCCTGGAGCAGCCGCGGCACCTCGAGGCGGGCGCAGCGGACGAGGTGGCGAGGCGGGCGAGGCGGCCCGAGCGCTGGTGCGGAGTCGGCGGGCCTCGGCCGGGACGGGACGAAGCCGGTGACAGAGCCCCGGGCGGGCGCTGGGGCGGCGGCGGCGGCGGCGGCGGCGGCGGGCAGGCGGGCGGGAGAGCGGGAGGGGTGAGGCGGGGTGGGGTTGGGGGAGGAGGTGGAAAACCGGAGCCCGGCTATTGTATCAATTAAGAAAAGGCAGTCCGTCCCGGGACGCAGTCTCTCGGCTCTGGAGTTGCTGTTGGGGGAAGAAAGGGGAAGGGGGGGAAGAAAAGAAAAGAAGGCAAAAAGAATGAAAGAGGGGGAAAGCAGAAGGCAGGATTTCAGGGCTGGTGGTTTGAAAAGCGTCTCTCAATATGATTTGCGTCCAAAGCGAGGCGGTGCGTGTGTTTATATAGAGGCGGGAGGCTGCGCCGTGGGCGCCCCGCCATCAACCCCCCTCCGCGGGTTTACAAAGCCGGAGGCGTGGTGAGAGGCCCGGCCCGCGGTCGGAGCGTGTGAGCGCCCGCTGGCCTCCAGCCCCGCCCCGCCACCCCGCCGCCCGCCGCCCGCCGTCCGCCCGGGACCCACTTGTAGCCGCCGCTGGATCAAACTCAGTTCACCTCTCGCTTGCTCTTCCTTCTCGCCAGCGTCTCGCCGAGCCCAGCACCGTCACCTACAGACGGACGAGAGGAGACACGCGCGCGAACACACACACGCACACACACACACGGTGCGCACTCGCTTGGTGCCCGCTTGGCTGCTAGGCCACTTCCCTCCCACTTTTCCTCCCGGGTCCCTGGCCCCCTCCTCCTGCTTCAGGCAGTCCCGCGTGCGCCATAGTCCCCGCAACTGAGATCCCGGCCAGACTACCCTCTCAACTAGGGGGTCTCCAGGAGCCTCTTAAACCTGTGTTTAGGTTTCGGGGCCCCCATGCTGCGGGACCACGCGGGCTCCTACCTCGTATAGGAGGACCCCTTATTTGCTACTCCCAATACTTGCTAACCTGGGTCCCCATCCCTGATCCCTGAATCCCAAAAACCTTAGGTGCCAAGGTCCCCCTTCCCTCATACCCTACAGAGCCTGGAGGTTCCCCTATCCCCATGTGCGTCCGGGGCTGCCAATGCCGCAGCCCCTTCTCTCCGACACTTCTGAGGCACCCCCTTCCAACACACACATACACACACACACACACACACACACACACACACTTCGTAGTCCATGTCCACCTCCCGCAGCGTCGGAGGAACCCCGATCCAGGCGAGTGTCTGACACCTGGGACAAAAGCGGCGGCCCCTGCACCCGGAGGCGGGTGGTACCGGGTACAAACGTTCATTGATACAAATGAGTAAATAAGCATGCCGGGTGAGCGCGGTCACCTTCTCAGCGCTGGCCGCAGAGGGTCCGGAGCGCTTGCTTCTGCTCTGTGAGATGTGCGTGTGGGCGGGGGCCGCACCTGTGTGTGCAGTCCTGCATCTGCCCTACGACTGTGGAGAGAGGTGGTTGTCTACAGGTTTTTGTGTTCTCTCTGGAGCTGTCTGTATGTCTGCACTCATGCATCTGTCTGCACCATGGCCTCTCCAGAGAGCCTGTGATGGAGCTGTGCACACCAACCCAGACATCTGCCTGGCTAGTACGCGGCTCTCCCTTTCGCGTGCATCCTGTTTTCCTCAACATGCCTCTGCACTTTAGCACTCTCGGAGCAAAAGACTATAAACATCCCGCCTTTAGTTTAGGGTGGTGTGTGTATAAATGAAACTAGATTCCCCTCTAACACCTTCCCTGCACCCAGTACGGGTTCTGCTTTGGTGCTCAGTAGAAAAGAATGAGCGTGAGCGTCTAAGACGCTCGCTGCGCGTACGTGTTGTCCCTCGCTGAGTGAGCGCTTCTGAGGTTGAAGCGGCCAGCGGAGAGCTCAACGCTGGGCTGGTGCGGCAAGCGCTGGGTCATCTGGGCTCTCACTCTCTGCCCTGTAACCCCACCTGGTGGACAGCTCTAGTACTACAGGTCCAGAGGAAGCAATTCCTGCTTTCCCTTCCCTAATTGACTTTCCTAATGGATGACAAGGGCCTACGTGCAGGTTCTCACAAAAGTGCCGTCAGACTCCCCACCCCCAGGGCACTTAGGACTGGGACACCCACGAAATCCTTGTGAGAACCAATGTGACTCCAGAGATAGAAAGCTAGGGAGCACCCTCCTGGGAGATTTTTCAGGACTGTCAAATCTGGCAGTGGCCACAGGGAGCCATGAGGCCAGCACTACTCCATTCCCTATCAGAGGATAGTACTGGGGTAAAACTGGGCTGGGGGAGGTTGTTGAGGTCGTGATGTCTTGAAGAACTCTGAGAATCTAGCCAGATTCCCAGTATTATTAGCACAGAGGTGGTGAAATAAACAAGATGACCCTGGGGAACCCATTGGTGGATGGACATGGACATGATGGGACAGAAATCCAAATAGATGCATGGGCAGATACGGAGCACATGCAAGAGAACATATACATAGAGGTCTGCTGTCACAGAGCCAGGAAACACCCACCTCCTGACCACCAACCCAAGAGTCCATTGAGGATCAGAAGTCCCCACACACTCCATTTGCTTTCCCCTCACTCCCTTTCCCCTGGATGGCTTTGGTACCCTTTCATCCTCCCCTACCTGGTCTCTCTTCCTGTTCACTTGTAGAGTGGGAGTGGGGACAGGGGCATGGAGAAAAATTCTAGGTCCTTCTTACTGTCCAGCTATCAAGTGGGGTCCTGAGGAATATCCACAGAGACACACAGTCCTATAGCAATAGATGCTGTTTCCTACTAGGAACCATCTCTCTGTTCAAGTTCTAAATAGTACTGAGGAAAAAAGAAGAGGAGAGCCATGCTGCTTTAACTCTGTAAGACTGCCTGGAGGAGGTTGTACAGTGTGGGAACGCTGAGACTGTGGAGCAGGTTGTTAAGAGAGTGGTTGGAGTCAAGCATGTTGGTGCACATCTGTAATCCTAGCACTCGGGAGGCTGAGGCAAGAGGACGTGGAGTTGAAAACCAACCTGGGCTACACAGTGAGTTTAAGGCTAGCCTGGGCTACATAGTTGGACCCTGTTTTCAAAACAAACAAACAAAAAGGTGGCTGGGACAGAGGAAGGCCAGTAGTCAGTCAGATCCTATCAGAGACACTATTTGGGCAGCCTGAGGTGGACTTCTGACGCCCAGTCTGAAGCCTAATCCAGACCTCAGTCTGATCTATAACCCTGTCCTAAAACAGACTCCTGAATTAATCCCAGACTGACCTTTAACCCTGGTCACAGACTGACCCTGTTCCTGACTCAATCCCACTACTAGCAAGCATCACTCAGGCCCCAGCCCTGCATAGATTGCCCCAAACCTGGGGCTCAACTCAAGCCACAAGATTCTGAGAGCAGGAATAGGCTCTAGGTCAGAATATTTCTTGCATTCTGATCTTAAAATGATCTGCCTGCTCTCGGTGAGCATCCCCTTCCCTCCAGGATGGCTGTAGGTAATCACAGGAACTCCTGGACACTGCCCCTTCCCAAGCAACCCTTTGTCTAGCCCATGACACACCCCAGGGCTTGCAGTGTCTCTGTAGCCCTCCTAGCACTTTGAAATCAGTGAGAACAGACTGGGACACCAGTCTGGGATGCTGGTTCAAAGTTAGTTCTGCTTGGATGAAATTCACATCCAAGCAGAAGATGCTGGGAGAATATGGAGGACAGACCTCAGGCACCATTGGGATATGCAAACCATGGACAAGGCACACCTCAGTGCTCAGAAAACTCTAGGGGAAGATTTGCCTGGAGTCCTACTCCTCATCAAGGCACAAAGCTGCCCAGGAGTGTTGTCTGTCCTGGGCCTTCTACACCCAAAGTGAGCACTTGTCCCCTTTCCAGTCCTTCTCATGTGTGCAGTCCAGTGCAGCCAACAAATCTCTTCATTTCACATCCACACGGCACTCTGAGGTATCACTGTTCTTAGATATCAGATTTAGATATCTCATCTTGTACTGACAAGAAAACTGGGACCAAGTCCCTCCTGCTCATCTCCATTGTTTGGTCCTGTTCCCTTTCCCACGAACCAGAACACATCCTGTGAGCTGTGAGACCCTTTGTTTAATGTCCATGCTGCTGACTTCTAAAGCCAACATCAGAAGAAATCTTTAATTTTATGCTCAATTTTGCATATTTTTGGCCCTGAATTTTTTCGGTTGCTTTTTATTCACTTTCTTTTTCTTAAAACTACCTTTCATTCCTCCAGCCAGAACCAAACAAAAAATGGGGGAAGCCCAGGATAAAAGTGAGGGCAGTCTCCCCAAGTGCCCAGAGTGC